CCCAGGGAGGCAGCTAGGATACCTGTCCTGGGTCCACAGTGTCTTTCTTCTGAGTTTCCTAAAACAGAGACACCTGTTATCACTCAGATTTAGGAATGTTGCCGTTAGGGGCAGGCCTTTGCTGTAGCGCTGGTTCAGAGTTTAGTTTCTGGGTTGGGTATGTGGTATCACTTGGGAAAAAAAATTCCCTAGGTTTCAGCAGTATGTTCAGGCCCCAGGCCTTTGGCCAGCTAGGGCCCTTTGACCTACCCTTGACCTCCAGTGGTTCCCAGGCTTTGCCTGGCATGGTAGCCCTTGCTATGATAGTACTTCAGTCCACCTCCACCCCCTTTGCATCTCTTGTACCCTTTGGATTTTTTGCCCCTTTACGAGCATCCTGAGTGGGCTGGAACTGAGGGCTTCCAGTGTTCCTGTTGACCTCGGAGAGAGAAATGGCAGAGAGGCGGCTGGCTAACTGGGCTCTGTCCTTTGGGGGCAAGACTTAAGTACTAGGATATGTGGGGTAGGTGATCACCACCTCCAGGCCTTCTTGCCTTTGCTCTGGATGCAGACTCACGTTTCCTTATGGGCTGGTGTAGCCTTCTCAGGTTATCACCCATCAGGTCTCTGTTCTTGGGAAGACATGTCTAGGGCACGGAGAATGTCAGCAGGATTACACTTGAGAGATGCCCTAATTGTTTTTGAGTCACTCGCTTGGGTTTTATTTCAAGAGAACAAGATGCCAGCCAGATGGAGGTGGTTTCCAAGAAGTGGCTTCTCAGCTGTTTCCCACTCATCACTTTTATGAGCAGAAAATGAAGTGTTTGCAGTCTCAGTTTGCACATTGTCATATATCCTCAGCACCACTGAGAAACAAAAAGCCTGACTTCCTTTCCTTAGGGCATCCGGGTGTCTGGGGAGCATTTACATCTGCCAAGGACTCATCTCCACAGCCTGCCCCAGGACAGGGCTCTGGTGGGGTCTGCTTGCCCACTGGCAGCCCAGCCTGTGGGTGATCCCAGAAGCACTTTCTAAGCATGGGCTTGGTGGCGCTGTATATACAGGATAGACACAGGCAGCTGGGCTGGCCCAACCTCTGTCTCTGTGCCCAAGCACATTGTTGCCAGAACCCACATATGTTCTTGGCATGAAAGATGGGACATCTGTTCTTACGGTGGGGCCAGGGCGAGTGGAGATGTCGTGTGTCCCCTTCCTCCGCGCCACCAATCCCGTCGCCTTCTGTATAGATCTTTTGAGGCAAGTCCTGTGGTACCACCCAAGGCTTATGGTGACTTGCCTTTCCTTAGGCAGTGGACATATTAAAGAGGTCATCGTGGCTGCTGATGCAGAGCCAGGGGACACTGAGATGGCAGAGGCCCCGGGTAGTCCCAGCCATCAGGGGATTGAGCTTGCTGTGGAGGGTGAGCAGGCACAGGCCAAGCTGCTGGTGAACAAGGATGGCCGCTACGTGTGCATGCTGTGTCACAAGACCTTCAAGACGGTGAGCCCCTCGGGGCAAGGGCTGGCCAGGCCTCCTGCCTTCTCCTACCCAGGGGGTTGCCCTGAGTCTCACTGCCCCTCCCCTGCAGGGCAGCATCCTCAAGGCCCACATGGTCACCCACAGCAGCCGCAAGGACCACGAGTGCAAGCTCTGCGGGGCCTCCTTTCGGACTAAGGGCTCACTCATCCGGCACCACCGGAGGCACACAGGTGAGCTGCGCCCTCCCAGCTGGCCTTGGGGTGCCCTACTCTTGGCCTGTGTCCCTGTTTTCTGAGTAAAGAAGCAGGGGTTCCTTGGCTGCCTTCCCCTTGTCACAGGGTCACAGGCCATTGTCTGCTGAAGGCTAACTGTTCTCTCCACAGATGAGCGTCCATATAAGTGTGCCAAGTGTGGGAAGAGCTTCCGGGAGTCTGGAGCGCTAACGAGGCACCTCAAGTCTCTCACTCCATGCACAGAAAAAATTCGCTTCACCATGAGCAAGGATGTGGTTGTGGGCAAAGAAGATATGCCTACAGGTCAGCATGGTAGGATATGTCTGGGTATTTGGGGCTGCTGTTTTTGGCCTTGGCCTCTGGCCTAGGTACCACTGCTCATCGGGGGAAATGCTTCAGAGCTCACTCAATTCTGCCTTAAAGGCTCAGGTGCCTCCACCGTGGGGACAGTTACATCTTCATCAGTGACAGGCGAGCCTGTGGAGACATCGCCGGTGATTCATCTGGTGACAGATGCCAAGGGCACTGTCATCCATGAAGTCCATGTCCAGATGCAGGAACTGCCGTTGGGCATGAAACCCCTGGCCCCAGAGGTAGGGCCACTCTCCACTCTGCCCTCTGCCCATTTTGCCGTCTCTTTGCTCTGGGCACTGAGTCCAGCGGGATTAGGTGATTTGAGCGGCTGGCAGGAGCTCTGTCTGCCTACAGAGGAGACTAAAGAGCTCCTTAGGTGGTGGGTAACATGCCAGAGGGCAGGGAAGAGGCAAGGGGGAAGGGTGAGCAGGGGTCAAGGTACTGGACTTCACCTAATGAAAGCAAGACAGCTAGGGCTAGAGGCTGGGAGCGCACCATCGCGCTCTGAGGGTGCATAGTACCTCTAGGGCCCCTGGACCTGGTGTGGGTCTGCACTGTAGGGTGGGTGATGTGTGTCAGGCTGTCTGGCTAGTGTGCCTCTGTCTGCTTTTTCTGCAGCCTCCAGACCCCGAGGAGCTTCCTTGTTCTAGTGAGGGCAGCCGTGAAAACCTTTTGCACCAGGCTATACAGAATTCTGGCATTGTTCTTGAGCGGGTCACTGGGGAGGAAAGTGCCCTTGAGCCGGCCCCAACCTCTGGGTCTAGTCCGCAGCCCCTGGGAGATGGACCTTCAGAACTCCCACTATTGGAGGTGGAGCAGATGGAGACAGTAGGTGTTTCTTCCTGACATCCTCCTGCTGGGGGCTGGACATGGGAGTTTGGGCCTGATGATGCCTGTGCTCCTTGCAGTGGATGGTAGCACTGCTTTACTTCCTTCCCTGGGGCCATGAGGGAGCTGGCCGGGCTGGGTGCCCTGGTCTTAGCTGTGGTGTGGCTGAGGCACAGCCTGCAGTGGGTGCTGGAGGCCTGCTTGTGGTCCCCCAGCAGGTGGCCAGTGAGGCTTCCACTGTGCCCAGGACGCACCCATGTCCTCAATGCAGTGAGACCTTCCCAACAGCAGCCACCCTGGAGGCTCACAAGAGAGGCCATGCAGGTGGGTGGTAGAGGGCAGGTAGGTCCGTGGACAGTGAGGGGCCTGGGGAAGCCGGGATGGCCTATGGTTCCACAGTGGGTAGGCAGATGTGCTGTGGGTGGCAGGCCTGGCTGATGTTGTGTGTGGTCCCAGGGCCGAGGCCGTTCCCCTGTGCACAGTGTGGCAAGGCCTTTCCCAAGGCCTACCTGCTCAAGAAACACCAGGAGGTGCATGTGCACGAGCGCCGCTTCCGCTGCGGGGACTGTGGGAAGCTGTACAAGACCATCGCCCATGTGCGTGGCCACCGGCGCGTCCACTCCGATGAGCGGCCCTTCCCTTGTCCCCAGTGTGGCAAGCGCTACAAGACTAAGGTGGGACCCTGGTGTCCAGGTTGTGTAGCCCTGGGGCCAGATGTGCCACTTTTATCCCTGCCTCCCCTGGTCCTCAGCCTGCTCAGTCTCTGCCTTTTAGCACCAGAGGTGGGTGGGGATAGCCTTGGTCTGTTCTGGCTGAGACCAGGCTGGCGGGGACTGGTGTCCACAGAATGCCCAGCAGGTGCACTTCCGGACACACTTGGAGGAGAAGCCACACGTGTGCCAGTTCTGCAGCCGAGGCTTCCGAGAGAAGGGGTCACTGGTGCGGCATGTGCGGCACCACACAGGCGAGAAGCCCTTCAAGTGCTACAAGTGTGGCCGTGGTTTTGCTGAGCATGGCACGCTTAACCGGCACCTGCGTACCAAAGGTCTGGGCCAGTGGGTGGGGAGAGGCATGAGGGCTGGGGGTTGCGTGACTGTGACTGAGCTTCCCTACCCCGGCAGGGGGCTGCCTACTGGAGGTGGAGGAATTGCTGGTGTCTGAGGAGAGCCCCTCAGCAGCTGCCACTGTGCTGGCTGAGGACCCCCACACTGTGCTGGTGGAGTTCTCATCTGTGGTGGCTGACACGCAAGAATACATCATTGAGGTTGGTGTGGGACTGGTGGGGCCAGGATGGCCCATGGCAGTCAAGGCTGACTTCTGACCATCTGTCCAGGCCACTGCAGATGATGCGGAGACCAGTGAAGCTACAGAGGTTATCGAGGGCACCCAGACAGAGGTGAGGGGCCCGGCAAGGGTGGGAGGCTGGTCTGGCCCCTTGAGCAGCCTCTTGGGCTGAGCTCTGGTTCCTGCAGGTGGACAGCCACATCATGAAGGTGGTACAGCAGATTGTGCACCAGGCCAGTGCTGGGCACCAGATCATTGTGCAGAATGTGACCGTGGACCAGGAGGCAGGGCTGGGCTCGGAGGCAGCCTCTGCAGACACCATCACCATTGCCACCCCTGAGAGCTTGACAGAACAAGTGGCCATGACCCTGGCCTCAGCTATCAGTGAGGGTACTGTGCTTGCAGCCCGCACAAGCTCAAATGGCACTGAACAGGCCACTGTGACAATGGTGTCATCAGAGGACATCGAGATCCTTGAGCATGCAGGCGAGCTGGTCATTGCTTCACCAGAGGGCCCGCTTGAGGTGCAGACAGTCATTGTCTAGCATGGAGCCTGTAGGGTCCCATTGGGCTGGGGCTGGGGCAGTGGCAGGGGCAGGGGCAGTGGTAAGGACCCTCAGTGCCCATCTATGCCTGCCTGCTCTGGTAGAAAAGACAGCCCAGAGTTTCAGGCATCCAAAGGAGATGGTATGTAAATATGTGGAAGTCTTTTGTTGCTTTACAATAAAACATGAAAACTTGCAGCTTGTGGTGTTGGGGAGTGGCCTGTGGAGGTGACTTCTGGCAGCACCTCCTGCCGAAGCCGCACTTGTTCAGATGCCTGGCCACCAGCCCAGGGGTATTGTCAGCTTTGGCGGCATCTCTGGCGTGTGGGTGTCTCTGGCATGTTGACAGGCAGCCTCTTCCCAGCTGGAGATGACCCCAGCTTCTCCAGGCCTGTGGGGGCTGGGGGAAACTGGTGCTGCTTTCCAGCCTCCTACCTTGGGCTGCCATGGGTTAAAGTGTGAGGCTGAGCCTCCGGAACCTCAAGGTGAACTGAACAGCCGCAGCTTTCCACCCTGAGCTGAGGACAGGTGTAGGCAAAGCAGCAGGGAATGTTGGACCAGGAATGGGGCAGGTCTTTCCTGACTGCCTATTTTCCCAAGAGGATGTGGCTCATGGAGGCAGATTCTAGGTGACCTAGTTTCTGGGGAGGTGGAGTCAAAAATAAGGCCTTGACCGTGGGTGTGGCTTCCCCTTTTCTGAAGTCCTGAGACTGTCCTTAGCGGGCTTCCAGGGTGGTTCGGGGATAAGCCTGGGGCACAACAGTTGGCCCTTGCCTTCTGGGGATTCCACGGGGATGGGAGCCAGGAGTTTTGGCAGGTACTTTATGAAGGAGGCGGGACCCAGTGAAGCCCTGCCCCTCCCTGGAGCAGGGCCTCAAATACCCACCAGTGCCCTTGCATCAGAGCTCCTGCTGGGTCAGGACAGCACAGTTCGTCCAGGGCCAGCACAGTTCGTCCAGGGCCACAACAGGCCCTAGCCTGGACCTCAGGTCCTCACTTGGAACAGTACCCCAGAGCGTCTGACACCACTTAATTCACTTCTCAGGTAAGTCTCGGGACTGGGTTGAGCTGGAGGCTGGATGGGAACAGAACCCCTGCATTTACAACTGTTCTCTCATGCAGTAGAATACCCGTCATAGGCTGACAGCCTGGTGCACCACTGGGAGTGGACGGGGCTGGGCTGACATGGAGAATTTAGGAGTAAATGCGCTTTCTCCCAAGGCCAGTGCTGGGGGCAGACCGGGCAGACCCAGCAGACCCCAGCAAGGTGTGGTCAGGATTATTACTCCTAGGCTGTTCCTGACCCTTTCAGCTCAGCCTCTGCCATGGGTGGGCCAGGCGCCCTGCTAGTGGCAGTCTGGGTGCTGGGGTTTGCGGGGTCTGTGGCGCTGCGCATCGGAGCCTTCAACATCCAGAGCTTTGGCGACAGAAAAGCGTCGGACCCAGCCTGTGGCAGTGTCATTGCACAAGTAAGGCCAGGAGCGCAGGTTGTGGGGGGCAGTCTGGGATCCAGGGCATGTCTGACAAGCTCTTCGACCTGACGACTCCTCCCCCAGATCCTGGCTGGCTACGACATCATGCTTGTGCAGGAGGTGCGGGACCCAGACCTGAGCGCTGTCACAACACTCTTGGAGCAGATCAACAGGTGTGAACAAGACTCCTGTGCGAACCCTCAATCTTGATAATCTCAGTGCAGCGCTTGACATGGCCTGGCCCTTCTCTTCACAGCGAGTCCAAGCACGAGTACAGCTTTGTGAGCAGCAAGCCGCTGGGTCGGGACCAATACAAGGAGATGTACCTGTTCATATACAGGTGACACGAGAGGGGCTGCAGGGAGGGGCATGCAGGGCCCAGGTGGCAGGCTCAGTGGACCACCAGTACTTTGCTCCCAGGAAAGATGCAGTGTCAGTCATGGAGACATACCAGTACCCAGACCCAGAAGACGCCTTTAGCCGCGATCCTTTTGTCGTCAAATTCTCCGCCCCTACCTGTGGTGAGGTTGGCTCCGGCCTCCCCAATCCCTGTCCTCCAGGCTATGCCCTGACAGGCTCCTTCCTTGGCCAGACTCTGCTTTGTAACACTGCCTGCCCCCGCACAGCTGCCAAAGAGCTGGTGTTAATCCCACTGCATGCAGCGCCTCACCAGGCCGTGTCGGAGATTGACGCCCTTTACGACGTGTACTTGGACGTGATCAACAAGTGGGACACTGACGTAAGCTCTCTGCCCAGTTCTTGGTCCTAAGGTCCCGCTGGTGCATGCCAGGGGTTTGGGTTACCAAACCGGTCTCAGACCTCAGCGACACCCACAGGACATGCTGTTTCTGGGCGACTTCAATGCGGACTGCAACTACGTGCGGGCAGAGGACTGGGCAGCCATCCGCCTGCGCAGCAGTGAGGTCTTCAAATGGCTCATCCCCGATAGTGCCGATACCACAGTGGGCAACTCGGACTGTGCCTATGACCGCATTGTGGTGTGCGGTGCCCATTTGCGGAGGAGCCTGAAGCCCCATTCGGCCGCTGTGCATGACTTTCAGGAGGAGTTCGGCCTAGATCAGGATCAGGTGAGTGTGGAGAGGAGCCCGGTCTGGGCCCTGCTGGCGCAGACTGGGAGGAAAGGCCAGGATACTGTTCCTGCTTCCCCGTCATGCTCCTCCTTGCAAAGATGCTTATAGCCTAAGGCCTGCAGACCCTCAGTCCCTGCCAACAGCGGGTGTTTGCAGGGCCCTCTACTGTCCCACACAGGGACCAGCTGTGGACCTGTGAATGGTAACAGGGGTGGACACCTAGGCCTTACTGGCCCCCTTCCCACAGAGGCAGGGGTTTGTGGATAATTATTGGTCCCATCATACTGCAGGACTGCTGAGGCTCTGCTCCCTCTCTTTCCAGGCTCTTTGTGTCAGTGACCATTTTCCTGTGGAGGTGACCTTCAAGTCCCACTGATGGCCCGGAGATCTGGCCAGGGAATGCCATCTGCAGACTTGAGCCACAAAGAGTGGCACCACACACGACCATTCAGGTGGCAGGCAGGCTATCTCCAGTGAGGATGCAGGGCAGGGTCATTTGGAAGCATGTCCATGGACACATTATAGGTCTACTCAGAGCCTCAGTCTCCCTATCTGTGAGTCAGCCTAACCCTCCCTACCTCTTAGGGTGGCTGTGAGGAGTACCTACAAATGGTGCTCTGTGCAGTGCTTCCCCCAGTCTCTGCTTAATAAACAAGGCGCTCTCAGCCAGGATCACACAGGTTGGCTCCAAGGCCTCTGTCTTAGGACCCAGCCCTTCTGGAGTGCAAGCCTTGGGTCTACTGCACAGTGGGCTGATGGTCCCAACCCCCTTGGGGAACACAGAGGGTCTATCCTCCCTACTTTTTATTCTGGTGGGAACTTGTAACCTCCTGACCGTACTAGCCCAGAAGGCAGCTCAGAAACTCCCTGTTCTCTCTCCTGTGCCAGCTGCAAATGCTTCCAAGAGCCTCCTCTGTGAGTGCAGCTGGCATGGTGCTGCACCACACAACAGCTTTCTGGGCCTTGCTGGATTTCAGAACAGGCTTTGATGCCCATCCTGCCACCAGGGACCCACCCAGAGAGTTGGAGGCAGAGGTCCTGCCTCATCCATTTCTGCAAGGTGAAGTCAGGGAGGCTGGCCACAGGTCTCCAGCTGGTCATCTGCCCTGGGATTTTTTTTGGGAGCCCCTCAGCATGGGCAGGCTGCCGGGGGTCTCTCCCATACCTTGCCTGGGGACAGGTCTGTGTGGTTTCCTCCCCAGCAGCCCTGCGTTGGGTGAGAACCTGCTGGAGGGTGAGCTTATGTGAGCCCACCACCTCAGGAGCAGAAACAAGCAGTTTCACGGGCACAGGGGTCTGATGGGGTTTCTAGATTTTGAAACAGCTCATCTTTGGCAGAATTTGGAACTGGCCTGAATCATATGGAAGGGGAGGTCTCTGTTTCAAGAAGTTAGACAAGTTTGATTCTTCCAAAATCTTTCTAATCGCTGCGCATGGTGGCGCCTGCCTGTAATCCCAGCACTGAGGAGGCTGAGGCAGAAGGATCCTTGTGAGTTCGAGGCCAGCCTGGGCTACATAAGTGAGCTCAAGGCCAGCCTGAACTGTATAGCGAGACCCTGTCTCAAAAAGACAAGAAAAAAAAAAAAAATCTTTCTAAAGTAAGATTCAGGATTTTGGCAATAGTGCATGCCTCAGACATCCAATGGTTCGGGGGGGTGGCGGGGGGGACCCTTTCCATGCTCCCCAGGATCCTCTGAATAGCTGCATACTCCCTCCACCCAACTGAACAAACATGGTGCCAAAGAATTTTTCTCGGGGTGGAGGGTGTACGTCCCATTAGTCTTACTTGGCCTTAAAAAGCCTCCAGCAAGCAGGTAGCCAAAGGCCGGGGATGGGACAACATGAAGACTTTATTCATAATTCTGCTTTGGGAAAGGAGACAGTGTGATTTTGTCTGGGCCCACGAAGTCCCACCTGCCATTAAATCCAAAAATCCAGACACTGCTCTTCAAACCCAAAGGCACTTGTGCTGACAGTGGGGCCTTGGGACGCTGGGCCACAAGAGCTGGGACTCTCTTAAGATTAGTAAAACAGCTGAGCAAGTTGAAAACTACTTCGTGTAAAATCCCCTGGGGACTACAGGAAAAGCTGTGTGGCAGGCAGCTTGGCCTTAGTGTTTCTTTTGTTTGAGCTTTTCTAAGTATACTTGCAGGGACTTCTGGATGGAGTCTTTGGAGATGAAGCTGACGAAGTTCTGGATGTCTGCTTCCCGCTGTTTGATCAGGTGGTCTGCGGTGGCCTTCCGCATCATGCTCTTGGTCAGCTGCCGAGCATGGTCTAAACAAAATGAGGTTCGCCTATGAAAACCCACTTTCCCAGATAGTGGGGTGATTCATAACCTTTCTCAAGTGTTAAACAGAAACTCGGGTAGAGCACTTAGAAAATACGGTAAAACTAAAGTCCCCTAACCCCACTGCCCGCTCATTTCCCTAAAAACCACAGGATGCTATTGTAAAAATTGCCTTTTTAAAAATGGTATTTTCACTAAGTTACATTATTGAAATATCTTCTTTATCATCAAACATTCACGCATCTTATCAGGGGTCCACAAACTGGCTTCCCAAGAGAAGATGCCAAGGATGGAGATACAGTTTTCACTTTTTTTTTTTTTTTTTAAGACAGGGTCTCATGGTGTAGTTTAGGCTGGCCTCGAACTCATAGCAATCCTCCTGCCTCACCCTCCCCAGTGCTGGGATTACAGGCATATGCTACCATGCCTGGCTATTTTCACCTCTTTTAATTAGTTGGAGAAACTCAAAAGGATATTTTGTGATGTAAGAAAAATGTGACACTTGCTGGGTGTGGCATTGTATGTTGGTAATCCCAGCACTTGGGAGGCTGAGGCAGGAGGACTATCTGAAGTTTGAGGTCAGCCTGGGCTACATAGTTTAAGAAGAGCCTGAACTATTTAGCAAGTACCTGGCTTAAAAAAAAAAAAAAAAAGATAATAGTGAAGCTTCTGTGTCCCTACAGTCTCACTGGGGTGTAGTCACACTCATCAGTTTGTGTTCCAAGGGCCCAGTTCAACAGAGACTGCGACCTATGAAACTGACAATGTCCCCGGTTCTTCACAGACAAAATCTGGTAGACCTGGTCTTTACCACTGTTGATACAATCATCCCTGTTTCTATAAATAGACTATTAAGTTCCCAACTGTCCTTATAGAGGGTTCCCAGAAATGTTCAAGTCCTAACCACCTCTCTAGAACATGTAAATGTGACTTTATTTTGAAAAAAGTCTCTGCAGATGTAATTAAGATGAGATCATCTTGGATACAAGGAAGGCCTTCATCAATTGGCAGGTGTCCTTTGACACGGGAGGACACATAAAGAGGCAGAGATGAGTAATATGGCCACAAGCTGAGGAATGGAGCCAATATAAGCTGGAAGAGTCAAGGGAGCCTCCCTCCTCCCAGCCTTCATGGCACTTTGAATGTGGACGTTTGGTCTCTAGAACTGTGAGAATAAAATTTCTGTGGCTTTAAAGTATCCAGACTGGTGCCTTGTTGTGGCACCCCTTGCTAGTAGGGGCTGTTCTGTGCATATTTGTGGCTTCCACAGAATATGTGGCAGAACTTCTGGTATCACTGAAATGGATCATCAGGCTGGGGAGGAGGATTCCCTTTCCCATGGATGCCTGCAACTGCCCATCCTTCCCAAGCTCCTCACCTGGAATGGCCAGCCACTGGCTCATCACTGAGAGTGCTGTGCTGTGTATCTGGTCCTCGGGAACCACCTGGTCCACCATGCCCACCTGAAGGGCCTCTGTTGGTGGGAAGAGCAGCCCCAGCTGCAGAGCACGATCCGCGGCTCGGTGTCCAATGGTGTTCACGAGGTTGTCTTTGAACCTAGAATGCAGACAGTTGCTCACCTCTGGCCTTGGGCTCCCAGCAGGTTCTGTTGAGCTCAGGGTCCAAGTGAGGTGTGGGCGCAGCCTCTGGCCTTACCAGAAGGGGGCGATTATGCCCAGCAGAGTCTCATTTAGTCCTATTCGGTACCTAGGGTTGTCAGCCAGGACCCGGTAGTCACAGGTAAGGGCCATCAGGCAGCCTCCAGCAGGCGAGGCTCCCTGCAGGGAAAAGAGAGATGATCTGGAGGTGCCACTGGTCCCAGGTGTACCCCAGACAGCAGGGGTCAGAGCCCAGGAAGGGTGAGTGGGTAGGCATGAGCTCTTGGAGTACCCCCTACTCCACTGCTCGGGGATGCACCAAGTCAGGCTGAGTGTGCACAATGAGGACAAGGACCGAGAAGGAACTGCCCCTCTTAGGGCTCAGCAGCAGGGATCTCAAGAAAGGCTCTGGCTTGTTCATCAACCCAAGGGCCTCTAAGGACTGGACCATCAGCTTTTGGAGGACAGAAAAACCTGTTGAGGATGGCAAGCACAGGGCCCCTCTGACCATCTCCAGCAGCCAACCCCACCAGCATGTCCAAGGGACCCAAACTCATACCCTGTCTTCGCTTTAGCCCCCCACACAGACACCAGGTCATCAGTGTCTCCTCTTCAGCACCCCTGTCCTGTCTCACCATGGAACTTCAGTGAGGCCCCTAACTTTCACGTTCTCTTCAGCTTCCTGATCACAGGCAGCCTTTCCTGGATAGTCACAGCCACCTGCTCAGAGCACAGGTCCAGAGCCCTGCATGTCCGCTTCCTTGCCTTCCCCTGGCTTTCCTAGGTCTGGCCAGGAAGAGAGTCAAAAGGCAGACTTGGTTCACTACTCACTCCAGGCGTAGCCTCTTAGTGGGCAAGGCCCTGGCCCCCACCCACCACTCTTTTGTGCGTCGTGTCTGTCTGTCTGGTTCAGGTGGGTGTCTACCCCTGCCCCTGGGCTGGTCTCAGAGGAGACCCCATGGGGTGGGGACACGCACGTTGATGGCAGCAACCAGGACCATGTTGGACAGGTAGAGCTTCAGCCATATCTCCTGCACGGCCCTCCAGTATTCGGCGTAGTGGGCTGGGTTCTTCCCACACATCTCCCTCAGGTCCAGGCCGGCTGAGAAGATGCCAGGACAGTCCTAGGGGAAGCAGCCAGGGCAAGGTGTTCATCAGAGTCCATTACATGGACTCTGGAGTGCACAAGGTTGGGTTCAGGGTGCAGGATGCTGCCTCCAGGAAGCCCAGAACTGGGGACTCCAAGGACAGTCTAGGCCTCCCTGACCCAGCCTCCGCTACCCAGGTTTTCCCTTTTCAGCTTCAAACTGGAAAAGGCAGAACAGGCGGGTATCGGCTCTCTGCATACCTATGTACACCTCTGCATGCCCAGTTCTCTGTCATCCAGGTGGAGAACTCAGGTCCAGGGAGGACTCTGGAGCAGGTACTTTCACTTACAGAGGGTCAAGTACCGCCAAGAGGTGCTGAGGTAGAGAAATGACCCAGAAGGCATGTGGTCCCTGGTGGATGACCCAGGTCCCCACACAGCTACTCAGGAGCATTTGGGAAGAACGCAGAAGAGGAACTGCCAGGCTGTGGGAAAGGAGGTGAGTGGGCCAGTGGGATGCAGTAGGTGAGCACTAAGTCCTGGGTCTTTGGTCGAAGGGCTCTTGGCTAGGAATGCAGCCCAGGGAGAACACCCGTACCGGGGCTCCCGTGGGCCATGGTGCCTTCTCCACAGGATTCCATGCATGGTGGATTTCCTGGGATTTGTTACCAGACACAACCTCGCCTATCCTGACTTTCAGGAATAGAAATGTACAGGTGTCTACCCCATGCTGTTTGCAGCAAGGACTGACAACAACCTTATTGTGTGTGGAGGAACAGGACAAGGACAATGGATGTCCACACTCTGTAGCCTTAGATGCAGTGAGGAAGTAATTGCACAAGGCGTGGAATGATTTCATCCTCCTCATTGTGCTTGGCTGTGCACAATACCATGGACTGATCTCTTTTTGGTTTCCATGAATAGTGTGTGGGCCTTTTTTAAAAACTTGGATCCAATAGAGATGAAAAGATAAGTGAGAGTTACACTAAATTTAGCTGTTTCTAATGGGATTGGTTCAGCGAGGCACGAGTCATCACCCTCTCCTGGTAGCATAAGATGGCAGAAGGAATAGGGCAGAGGCAATGACATCCCTGTGGCACAACTAAAGTGCTTTATTCTGGATGTTCAAGAAACAAACTAACAGGGCATGGTGGCACATGCCTTTAATCTCAGCAGGTGGGAGGCTGAGGCAGGAGGATCACCGCAAGTTCAAGGCCATCCTGAACTACATAGCAAGACCTTGTCTCAAAAAACAACAAAAAAAGTTGAAGTACTACTGGGGACACTTGCCAAAGACTACAAGGGCCATGGGTTAGAATTTCTAGAATCTAGGAACATACCTGTTGTTTGCTGAACTGTGTCCTCTAAAGTCATATTCAAACCCTTACCCCAGTATCCATGAATATGGCTTTATGTGGAAATAGGGTACTGAAGATGCTATCAAGCAGACTGTGATGAGTACACCTTGATCCAAGCATTCTGAGAGACTGAGGCAGGAGCATAGCAAGTTCAAGCCCAACCTGGGCAACTGGGTGATTTAGTGAGATCTTGTCTCAAAACTAAAAAGGGCTGTGGATGTAGTTCAGTGTGAAGGTCTTAGACTCAATCCCCAGTACTTAAAAAAAAAAAAAAATGCTATCAAGTAAAGAGGAGGCAGACTGGATTAGGGTAGGCACTGAGTCCAGTGATAGATGTCTTTACAACAGAGGACAACTTAAGCTTGTCCTAGTGGCACACGCCTGTAATTCCAGCTTAGTGAGGCTGAAGTAGGATGATTGGAAATTTAGGACCACTCTGGGCAATTTATTAATTTAGTGAAATCCTCTCTCAAGATAAAAATTAAGAAAAATAGGCTAAGGTTGTAGCTCAGTGTGACAGCCCTGGGTTCAATCCCCAGCACTACAAAGAAGAGTGGGGTGGGAGGAGGAGGAAGGGGATGTGGACACAGAGACACTGGGAGAAGCCCTGTGAAGACAGGAGAGACTGGAGTTACACCACTATAAGCATAGGGATGCCAGAAGCCATGAGCACTCCGGGAGGCTGAGGCAGGAAGATTGGAAGCTGGCATTTAGTCTGGGGAATTTAGCAATTTAGTGAAACTGTCTCAAAATTGAAAAAAAGAAAAGAAAAAGGGATAGGGATATAGCTCAGCATGAAGAACCTCAGTTCAATCCCTAGGGCTAAAAAAAATGCATTTTTAAAAATGAAATAACAGGCTGGGCTTGGTGGCACACACTTGTAACCCCAGCACTCAGGAGCCTGAGGCAGGAGGATCGCTGTGAGTTCAAGGCCAGCCTGAACTGCATAGTAAAACCTTGTCTCAAAAAAAAAAAAAAAAAAAAAAAAGAAAGAAAAGAAATAATACCTTGAATGATGTATTTCAGGACAAATCTAAGTGGAAAATACCTAGGTAGCTACGATCCTGGCAAAGCTCCTTGGAATTCTGACATGACCAATCTTCCCAATAACAGTTTTTTCCTACCCTCAGGGCTGTAGTGGGCAGTCTCTTCTCCAGAGTGTTTACACCCCTTCTCCACCTTCACTCCCATCAGCAAGATGCTCAGGGAACAGATCTGACACCAGATTCCAAGGTCACCACTCCTTTGGGTGAAGTTGCTGGGATTTGTAGCACTTGGAGCAATGCTGGAGTTCAGACAGATGAAAAGTTGGCCCTCTGAGAATGTGAGCTAAGTCCAACCCAAAGGATAGCTGAGAACTGGTTCTCTAGACACATATATGAGGGATTGGTTCTGGCACCAGAGCCCCCCAGGATAAAGCAGCCTAGCAGCCGCTGAGTTCCTTTAGGGTCAGCTTGTTAGGAAGCGCCATGGGCTCTCCAATGCCCTTGCGAAGACCTGGGTCTCCCCACAGGGTTCTGACCCAGGCTGTGGAGCCCCACACTCTCCTCAGATCTACCCTGGCAACCAAAGGCCTGGCAAGTAGCCTTGAGCTTGGTCTGCCCTCAGGAAAACGACCTGCCTGAGTTCACCAGTACAATCAAATCCCTGATGACCAGGGACTATGCTCCCTGGAAGCCTGTCACGGTAGTATCTGGCCTCCAGGTGGCAGGGGCTGCCCGATTACTCTGTCATGTGACAGCTGGCTCCAGCTTTTCCCAGTGGCCCTGAGCAAGCACTTACCGAAGTTAAGATGATGCCTCGGAAGGTCTTGTCGTTCTCCAGCTTCTCCAAGCAGATGATTAACTCTGTTAGAAACTCCAAGGAAAGGCTATTCACTGGAGGGTTCTTGAGTTTTATTGTAGCAATCCCTAGTTTAAAGAAGGAGGAAGAAAAACCTCACATCCAGCATGGGAAAAGGGCCCTGGTCAGGCTGTATCCTCAGCCACGCCACAGAAAACTGCACAATTCTTCTGGTTTTAAAAAATGAGGGGAGGGCTGGGGATATAGCTCAGTGGCACAAGTGCCTGCCTGGCAAGCACAAGGTCCTGAGTTAGATTCTTGGTACCAAAAAAAAAAAAAAAAAAAGAGGGGAGCCAGGTGTGGTGGTGCACATCTGTAATCCCAGCACTTGAGAGGCTGAGGCAGGAGGACTGCCTTGAGTTCAAGGCCAGCCTGGGCTACATAGCAAGTTCAAATCCAGCCTGGACTACATAGTGAGACCCTATGTCTCAAAAACAAAGAAGGGAAGCCAGGTTTGGTGGTGCACACCCGTACTCCCAGCACTCTGGAGGCAGAAGCAAGAGAACTGCCACCAGACTGAAGACCAGGATGGGCTATATGTGGGTTCAAAGCCAGCCTGAAGTATACAGTGAGCCCCTGTCTCCAACAAAACAAAACAAAACAAAACAAAACCCAAAACACACCACAACAACTGAGGGGAAGCCAGGTGTAGTGTTAAAAGTCCATAATCCCAACAATCTAAGAGGCTGAAGCAGGAATATTAAAAGTTTGAATCCAGCCTGGACAATTTAGACCCTGTCTCAAAAAAAAAAAGGGATATGATATAGTTCAGTGAGAAGGCCCTGGGTTCATTTCCCAGAATATAAAAACAAAACTATGTACAAACCACCCCCCTAAAAAAACACCCTGGAAGTGATATTCAAATAATATAGATCAATCAACCTATCAATCTATCTATGTATCTATGTTTTCTGAGAAAGGGTCTCAGTATGTAGTTCAGGCTTGTTCTGAACTCACTATGTAGCATAGGCTGGACTCAAACTTGCAGCAATCCTCCTGTTTCAGCCTCCTAAATTCTGGGGTTATAGGCATGTGCTATCACATCCAGCTTTTTTTGAGACGGTATTACTGGGTAGCCCAGGCTGGCCTCAAACTCGTGACCATCCTTCCAAGTACTGGGATCATAGGTGTGCACGACCATGCCCAGCACATCATTATTTTTATTTGTTTATTTATTTATTCATTCATCCATTCTTTTTGAGACAGGGTTTCACTATGCAGTTCAGGCTGGACTTGAACTCACTCTAGCCTAAGCTGGTCTCGAACTCATAGCGATCCTCCTGCCTCAGCCTCTCAAGTGCTGGAATTATAGCTGTGTGCCAACACACCCAACTATTATTATTTTTTAGTATTGGGAATATAACCCAATGTTCTCTAGTGTTAGGCAAAGTGCTCTACCATGGAGCTACACTTACAGCCCTTTTTTTTAAAAAATTCGCCCCCAGACCTTTCTAAAATTTTTATTTTGAGACAGGGTCTCGGTAAGTTGCCCAGGTTGGCCTTGAACTTGTCATCTTCCTGCCTCAGCTTCTTGCGTAGCTAGGATGTGCTATAGTGGCCAGCAGAATTTCTTTTTCTTTATTGTGGTGCTGAGGATGGAACCTGTAGTGGATTGACAACTGGTGGTCAACTTATAATCCCCAACTAAACTGAGTAAGCGTGGTGCCCAGTGTGGGAGGCCCACCTGAGGACTGTTGCCAGCAGCATAAGAGGCAGACCTGGAGAAGAAGGAGGCTTTTGGAAACTGAAGAAGGCTGCTGGGAGCTGAGAGAGGCTGGCGTGAGTTGGTGGAAGCTGTAATGAGCAGTTGGTTCTGTTGGAGAAGCTCGTCATGCTGGCTTTCCCGATGAACTTGGCCGTTTTCATCCTTCCAGAAGCTCAGGACCTTGTTGGCACTGAGAATAGCTTCGGTTCACTTTGGGGAAGCTCGGGTCCTCACTCTGAGCATCGCTTCCTGGCTCTGCAGGGGAAGAAGGTGCACAGCTCAGTCTCCTGAAGAAGCTTGCTCCATTGGCTTCCTTGATGGTAACTTGGCCATCTTGATCATTGGAGGAGCCTGGGACCTCACTGTTGCTGAGGATGGCTGTGGTATCTTTCAGGGGAGCTCCGGTTCTTACTTTGAGCATCACTTCTTGGCTCCAGTGCAGATCCCTCAGCCTGCTAGCACAGATCCTTCATCCTGCTGGCACAGACTTCCTAGATTCCACCACTGACCTTTGAGCTTCCCAGATTCGTAAACCAGGCCTCCATGAGACATTGTCGTGGGCTCTGGGCCTCCAGTTGGGTTTGTGGGAGGCATTATTATGAGCTCTAGGTCTTCAGCTGGACTCATGCAGGACATTTTCGTGGGATCCAGCCCCTCAGCTGGATTCCTTGGTCTTGGTGTGTGGACAGATTTCCTGCACTCTTTTGTGAATCGGTCTTTGAGTAACTATTATAAATGATCATATAAAATATGTGTCCTGTATTATATTGTTTCCCCTTGCAAAAATAACCCCCCAAACCAACACAGAACCCATGGCCTTGCATGTGCTAGGCAAGCCCTCTGCCACTGAGCCAAATCCCCATCTTTGTTATTTTTTAGAGTAAAGAACACTCACCTGCATGGAACAATCACTCTTTATTTATCCACAGATGGACAGTTGGGCTGTTTCCCCTTTTGGCTACTGCGCAATGCTGCACTGAACATTCGTGCATACATTTTATTTTTTAGACACCTGTTTCCAGTTCTCTTAGGTATATTCCTAGAAGTGAAATTGGTAGATTTGTTTTATTTTGGACTTTAGGTTGCCAACAATGTTGCACAGGCAGCAGGGCCCTGCATGCCCTCATACAGCCTCGGCTTGCTGTGCTGGCTTCTTACGGTATCAGCAAGGCCTCAAGTACCTTGATGGTGTCACCGCTCAAGGACAGAGGACAAAGGCTCAAGAGGGGGCTTTCCTTGGGACAGGGAAAGACACATCCTGGAAACCCATGTCATGCATAGGTATGCCAAGTGTGTACTACAAATGAATCACACATCTGGTACTTTGGCAGGCAGAGGGGATATGGAGACCCAGGATGTGGACCCTCCTAACCAGAACTGGAGATTCCTTGTCCCCACTTCTCAGACATCAGAGGCTTTGATGAGAAGGCACCCCATGTACCCAGGGAAGCAGCTGCACCAGGACAGCTTTGCAAGAACCCCCCACTTCCACTCAGGGACCCTGCTAAGGAGGTCCTAGAGCCTGCAAACTTGGAGTCACTGCTGGTGGGCAGAAAGCACCCTAGACCTTGTCCATGCTGCTTAGATACAGTAGGACTTTTTGTGTGTGTGTGGTACTGGGGTTGAACCCAGGGGTTTCACAATGAGCTACATCCCCATTCTGTTCATAGTTTTATTTTGAGTTAGGGTCTCACTAAATGGCTCAACTGCCTAGGTCGGTCTCAAATTTGTGATCCTCCTGCCTCAGCCTTCCAGAGTGCTGGGATTACAGGCATGAGCCACTATGCCCAGTTGATATACAAAAGTCTGTGGCTTTAACACCAGCTTGACTACACAGTCCTTCACTCCAAAATGAGTCCACTGCACCTGCAGCTTGGCTCTGGGCACAACACCCTGGCTGCCCCACTTGTGCCTACCTTTCAGGCCCATCCTGGCCCACAGCCTCTGTGCATGCCCTGTGTCACGTCTCATCAGGCCTCCCAGGCCATGCCACCTGCTGGTAATGACTTTGGAAAAGCTATATGATTCTGGGAAGGAAAAACACTGAGCCCAATCTGTGCAAAAGCCTTTGGGGGAAATCCAGGCATGTGGCCGAGCCCTGCAAATGCAGGAGGAAAGCAGAAAATGATTCAGTCTGACCTACACTAAAGCTTTCATTAAAACAGTTTTGTCTGATCCCTCACTATTTTAGTGTGTGTGTTAATGGTGTCAGAAATCGAACTCAGGACCTTGAGCTTGCTAGGCAGGCACTGTGCTGCTGAGCTATATTCCTGGCCCTCCCTTGCTACTTTTTTGTTTTGTTGCGGGGGGGTACTGGGAATTGAACTCGGGACCTCAGGCAGGTGCTGCGCCACTGAGCTCAATCCCCAGCCCTTGCTATTTTAAAGAAATGTTTCATGAACACTAACTGCAATCCTGTCTTCTAGACCTGATATCCTGTCCTCACATTGGTTCAGTCTGCTATATATACTCTGAATAGAATTTTTATCTTCTGGATGTCTAAGTGAATCTGTTTCCTGGATTTCACTTCTTTCCTATGTTGGGCATTCATGGTTTCCATCATTATCCTAAGCTCCCTTATTTTTTTTAAATCTATATTTAGTCTAGATTCACTAATCATGTCCTTCACTATGGTGATCATCTCTGAAGTTATCTGAGAAATTATTTCTGATTTGATTTTTTCTAGAGCCTCATTCATTGGTTTTGTTACTTCCACTGTTATAGAGAGTCTAGGTGGGTGGCTTTTGGTTGTTTTTCTTCCGGTACCGGGAATTGAACTCACGACCTTGAGCTTGCCAGGCAGGCGCTGTGCCGCTGAGCTAAATCCCTAGCCCAGGTGGGTGGTTTTTGAATTGTTCCATCTTATTGTCCTCTGGGTTTTTGCCTTTGGTGAGCTGAAAGTCTGGGGTTGCATCTTGCTTCCCTGTCTTCTCATTTTCTTTTTCTTTTTTTTTTTTAGTTTAATTCCTACATTGACGCTTATAAATTATTTACTGTAAGTATTTTTATTGCTAATATTCTGAACCCTTAGGAAATGACTACGGAGTGATACCTTCCACGTGTAGCAGCTGGCTTTTGGGTTTTGAGTCTGTTGCAAGATCCCACCTCTTCAATTTGTTGGTGATTAGAAATTGCTGCCTATTTGGCCTATACCTTGGTTCTTAGGCACGGGGCTATAGTATTATTTATGACCTGCAGGCAATCTCAGTCGTGACATTTGAGGAACAACAACTGATTAGAATAATTGTGCAATAATTATAATAACAACAGCACCAAACACAGCCTAGAAAATGACAAACTGTGGTAACTATTAATTTGTGACCTTTAACTGTATGAACAAGATTTGTAGTTACACAATAAAATCTAAAACAAACCAGGGGACTGGGGATATAGCTCAGGGGCATAAGCACTTGCAAGCGCGAAGTCCTGAGTTCCATTCCCAGGAACAACAACAACAAAAAGACCAAAAAATTAAAAAAGGCCAGGAAGATCGCTCAGCGGCACAATGCCTGCCTGGCAAGCGCAAGGTCCTGAGTTTGATTTCTGGTACCAAAAAAATAAAAAATAAAAAATAAAAAAATAAATAAAACCAGAAAATGGTACACAGTAAATATCCCCTCAGTATGGTGATTTTACCCTCAGGAGAGGAAATTTAAAAAGGGGTTTTGGGAAAAATAGAGAAAAGGAAGAGAACAGGATTAGAAGCAAGGCTGGAGGACAAAGGAAGACCATGTAGGCTTTTGGAACTCGTGAAGAAGCAGGAGGGAAAGAACAGGACAAAACAACAATAAAAAACTAGAAACAGTTTTTGCACTCATAACAACAAGAAGAAACCATCTATCAAAAGATAAAAAAAAAATTAAAAAGCAAAGAAAGGAAGAGAAGTAGAAAAAAAAAAAAAGTCCACTTCAGGGTATGTCTGATGTCACTGGTAGACAGAAGGAGCACACAGGGCCCAGATCCATGTTGACTGATCCCAGGAACCAACAGCAGAATTACAGTGGTGATGGAAAATCCCAGCCAACCTGGGCCTTCAGTTCCACTGAAGTTGGTTGCCGCCTCCCTCTTCTGTGTTGCGGTCCCTTTCTTTACTCTCCCCATGGGCTCCAATTTTCCCTTCAGATGCTTGCTGGGTCCCAGGGACCCACTTTCTTCCTCCTTGTCTTCCTTACGCTTCCATAGTCCAATGTCTGAATTTCGAATAGTGGAGAGGCTATTTCTCTGCTGCTCACCATTCTGACATCTTCCCGCAGGTGCAACACAGTTTTGTCTGAATAGCACTTTTCCCCCCTTGTACTGGGAATTGAACCCAGGACTTCTGGACTGAGATACATGCTCAGACCTTTTTTATTTTGAGTCAGGGTCTTTCTAAATTGCCCAGGCTGGGTAGGGACTTGCTATCCTCACATCTCAGCCTCCGAGAACGCTGAGATCACAGGTGTGCGCCATCACAAGTGGCTAAACAAGTACGACCTCCACCATTTTAATTTAAAACTGAGCATCTGCGCTCTTTCCTATAAGCCAAGAAGAAAACTTAAAACAGGAATGAGTTGGTATGGTGGTGAAGCCAATTCCTCATTAGCAGTGAAGTGAATAAAAGGTATTCTCCATGCTGGGCATGGTAGCACATACCTGCAATCCCAGCTACTTAGGAGACTGAGGCACAAGGATTATAAATTCAAGCCCAGCCTGGACACACAAGTGAGGTCCTGCTTCAAAATTTAAAAAAGATGGGGGTGCTAGAGATGTAACTCTGTGGTAGAGTGCTTGCTTAGCATGTGGAGGACCTGGGTTCCATTCCCAGCACTGAAGCAGGGAAAAAGTGTCCTCTTACATCACAAGGCTATTACATAATGCAAAATTAGGCCAAAGGCACAGTCACAGAGCCAGGACGCTCCCACCTTCACCCTTTGCTGTCCTTCCTCCTACGGGTCAGTAAACTTTTTCTGTAAAAGCCCAGATAGTAAATATTTTTAGTTTCACTGGTCACATAGTCACTGTTACAACCAGTCAGTGTGAAAGCAGCCCTCATTTATAAATGAATGGGTACAGGTGTGCGCCAATAACTTTATAAAAACAGATTTGCTGACCCGTATTTTGTAACATTTTACATTTTTCTTTTTCTATTTTTTTTTTTTTTTTTTTAAACAAGAGAATGAGCTGGATTTCTGTGGGCAACTACGGATGGTTCATATTCACAGAAACATCTATATTTAAACCCAGCTTGCAAAGGGCAACACTGGGGCTCCTGGCAGCCTCCAACAGAACGAAGGGACCAGCAAAGTTAGCTTTCTCCTGCCCACAGAGCTCCACGTGTACATAATTAAAGGAAACTTTGAATAGAGAAAGGCAAATTATTTTCCAAGCATATTATGCTCAAGATATTTCTCCTCCAAGTATGTCCAGAACCATGGCACCAGGTGGAAGGAGAAGCAATGTTGTGAGAACAAGGATGAAAGACCAATAAAAATCCTAAACAGGCTGCAAGTGCTCTCAGGGATCCTGGAGACTAAGGAAACACAAACACATGGGCTCCTGGGTATTTTCCCAGCAGCCTCCCCTGAGCATCAGTGCTGTTGTGGGCTGAACTGCAACCCCCTCTAAAAGACCCACTTAAGTCCTATGCCCTGGGATCTATTCTGAAAACCAACTTAATATCATCCAGCTGCTTGTCACTGCTACCATGCCTCCTCAGTTTGGATACTGAGGAGGGTCATCAAAGGTCATTTTCTACAAATGTGGGCCAGGTTTTTTTTTTTTTTAAATGCTGGTTTATTTACTTATTTATTTATTTTTGAGACAGGGGTCTCGCTATATAGTTCAGGCTGTCCTTGAATTCACTGCATAGCCCAGGCTGGCCCCAAATTCTCAGTGATCCTCCTGCTCTGCCTTCCAAGTGCCTGGATCAGGGTTCTGACTGCTATGGAAAGGCCTGTGGATGGAATTGGTCATAGCTCTTCTGCCTCTATTTCTCACCAGCCTGTCTTTATGCCTGGCTCATCACCAATATGTTCTTCTTTGTTCTTTTTCCCCAGGAACAAGTCCCGAGTCCTTGTGGGAGGAGGACATACTTTACTTCCATGAGTGAATAAGAAAACTCTAAGGAGCCAGATGTGGTGGGGCACACGTGTAACCCCAGCACTGGGGAGGCTGAGGCGGGAGGATCATTGTGAGTTTGAGGCCAGTCTGGGCTACAAAGTGAGTTTAAGACCAGCCTGAACTGCATAGCGAGACCCTGTCACAAAAAGACCAGTAAAAAAAAAATCCAAGGAGCTGGATGTGGTGGCACACACCTGTAATTCCTGCAATTGGGAGGCTGAGGCAGGAGGATTGCTGCAAGGCCAGCCTGGGCTACAGAGTGAGTTCAAGGACAGCCTGAACTAAACAGTGAGACCCTGTCTAAAAAAAGAAAAGAAAAGAAAAAGAAAAAAAGAAATATCTAAGGACTAGATGTATGAGAAACTATAGCAGGGGTTCACCTCATGCTCACTTAGAGACAGAGGGTGAAAACACTGAGATCAGATGTCCCTACCCTGTCCTTGACCCATCGTTCATTCTGCTGGTAGCAGAGAAAGCAAGAGGGACAAGGGCCTGCCCCTGGAGACACTGCAGCTGTTGGCTAATGGCTCCTGTTTTTGCTTCCCACTACTGATTGGTGCTTGGTGGCTTCCAGAACACTGCCAGTCATTTAAGAGAATTTCCCTGGCTAGGATATCAGTGTCTGGACTGTCAACATAAATTATTCTCTGGGAACTTGAAGTCTTGGTGGCAGATAAGATCTTTGGGATCTTTGATTTATGAGGAAGAGGTAGTAACTATTACCCAGTTACATATATATAAAACAAAAGAGCTTCACAAACTTGGCTGGGCAGGAAGTTTCTGAAACTGACTCTAAAGTCTGGCAGGTCAGCTGATAACACTGGGGGAAAAGTAAAGAAGCCAAAGGTGAACATGAGTTAAGGGGAGTTTGGATGAACTTGACAATGGGGCAATTGCATTCCTGCCCGAGCACAGGGTGGGTATTGATAAAATTTCTCAAATGATATGTTTTAGAGATATAAAATCAGCTTCAAGAGTTGGGTATGGTGCTGCACAACTGTAATCCCAGCACATGGGAGAGTGAGGCAGAGGGATCATTGTGAATTTCAGGCCAGTCTGGGCTATAAAGTTTTGGTTTTTTTTTTGGTAACAGTGAATTTAAGGCCAGCCTGAAATACATAGTGAGAACTTATCTCAAACAACAACAGATCACTGGGCATGGTGCTGCACGCCTGTAATCCCAGCACTCAAGTCGAGGCAGGAGGATACCCATGAGTTTGAGGCCTGCCTGGGATACATACTGACTTCAACGGCAGCCTGGACTACAAAGTGAGACCTTGTCTCAAAAAAAAAAAAAAAAAAGTTGCCCAAGCTGGCTCTGAACTTTTGATCTCTAGCGTCAGCCTCCCAAGTAGCTGGAGCTTTGGGAAGCTAAGGCAGCAAGATTGCAAGGTCAAGACCAGCCTGGCAACTTAGTGAGACCTTGTCTCAAAAATATAAAGGGCTGGAAATGTAACTCAGTGGTAGAGCAGCCACGGGTTCCATATCCAGTACTGAATTTTTTTTAAAAAAAAGGTAAAACGAAAAATAGTAACTGAGTTCTGTGCTAGGTAGGCATGTTAAGAACAATGATTTTTTTTTTTTTTTTGTCTTTTTTGAGACAGGGTCTTGCTATGTAGTTCAGGCTGGTCTTGAGCTCACTTTGTAGCCCAGGCTGGTCTCCAAGGATCCTCCTGTCTCAGCCTATGGAGTGCTGGGATTACAGACGTGTGCCACCACGCCTGGCTTGTTTTGTTTTTTGAGACAGGATTTTCCCTATGTAGTTCACACCAGCCTTGAACTCACTAGCCTAGGCAGGCCTCGAATTTGCAGGGATCCTCCTGCCTCAGCCTCCAAGTGGTGAGATCATGTTTAACTAATTCAACTGCTTAGATAATATTACACCCTCAAATTGAAAAACAGAAAAACTTTTCTTAACGCATAAGACCCACTTAAACCACCCGATGTGAAAGCGAGTTTCCACTGGGGCTTTATCTCTTGCTTTTGAAAATTCAACAGCGTTCCCCCGAGTTGGACTTCAGACTTGATTTCAGGGCTTGCTCCTGAGATCAAGGACGACAAGACTATGGCGCGGTTTACAGTCGTCATCGAGCCACCCCGGCCCTTACCCGCCCCCCACCCCCCCGCGCTCACCTGCGGCCGCGTCCGGTTCCACCAGCACCCGGTGGCTCGCGAAGCGCCGCGCGCCATTCCCGCCACGGGTCGCCGCCTCTGCGCCAAGCCGGACCCCTACGGACCAGGACCAGGCGGGGGGCCGGTTAGCGCCATGGGTGAGTCCCGTCGCCCTGATCCTTTTTCCAGGACCTCCCGCCCCCAGCCCCCTGCCCATCACATGCCCGGCCCGCACCCGCCCGCAGCAGCACCGTCCTCCCTGCCAGCAGCGCCATCTTGCCCCACCGCCGGGTCGCGGCGCGGCCTAATCCCCACCGGGCTCCTCCCCAGCCCCGCCCCGCTCCGCTCCGCTCGCCCCGCCCGACCTATGGGGAGCAGAACCCGGCCCTGCAGCGCCTTAGTCAGGGTGCTCCCCATCCAGAGGTTCAAGGTCCTGCGCTCGCTTTCCCTGAGGCTGCCCGAGGTTCATGTCACCACCTGAGCGGGCAGTAGGACCTTCCGTGGCCTTCTTAGGGGGATGAAGTATAGACCCTCACCGCGCCCAGCAGCGGGGTGGTGTTGACAGCATATAGCATGCTGGAAGGCCAGGCCCAGGCAGAGGCCCCTAAATGTGTATTTAGTCCATCCTGTATAAACAAGGAAAGGACACGAATAAAGGGTCACTTGATTGGCTGGTGCACTACTGCTCAGTGTGGTGTCTTGTTCTATTGTGACAGTAGGTACAGTTGGGCAAGCAGTTTTAAGCACGACTTTTGTTATCTTTTTTTTTCTTTTTGAGACAGTCTCACTATGCAGCTCAGACAGGTCTTGAACTCACTTTGTAGCCCAGGCTGCCCTGAACTCGCAAGGATCCTGCCTCAGCCTTCCCAGGGCTGGGATTACAGGTGTGCGCTACCACGCCTGGCTCTCATTACCACCTTAAACATTTCCAATTCTTTCTCAGGGCACGATCTAATTCTGGCAGTACACAGTGCAAGTACTAAATCCAGGTGTACACTCCCAGACACATTTTTAGATAGTCTTGCCAAATTGCCCAGGACAGCCTGGTACTTGTGATCCTCCTGCCCTGTAGTTGAAGGAGTCATTGTGGCTGGCCCCAAACCAATTTTTGAGGAAGAAAAATATTTTCCCACAGCTATTTAATACAGCAGCAGCTCTGTTTCAGACAGAAGTGAACTTTTTAGGAAGACAGTAGTAAAAATAACCCTTTTCCCTGTTTACCCAAAGGAGCAACCTAAAACTCTTAGGCATACTAATCCAAAATCTTTCTGATTGAGAGGTTTTGGAGGTGTCACTTTGGAAATTAAAGTATTTTGTTCTTAGTTGGTCTGGCATCAGAAATGACTATGTGAAGTAGTTCTGGGAACTAAAGAACAGCAAGACCAGTACTCAATCTGCATTCTAATTCTAAGTTTATTCAATACAATTCCTTTACTCTACACAACAAAGTACAAACACAATCTTATCTAAAATGCTACAAAGTTACAAAACTCAAATTTTATAGCACTGACTGTACAATGAAAGCCAAAAAAGCAATGTACATGTTGCCAAGATAACCTGCAAGACCACCATGAATAGCAGGTGAAATGATGGGTTCATGATGGTCTGCAAAGCTGGCTCTCAAACTGCTCACCAACATTTGAGAGTAAAGGAGACAAATGGGGTGGGGATGTAGATGAGAACATAGACAGAACCATTTATGGCAACTAACAGAAGGCAGAGACAGACACCCTCTCTTGAGGAGTTTGACCCTAGAGGCTGGAAGAGGACTCAAGCAGGAATCAAAGGGCCACGCCTAATGGGAATGGTGCATTGGTCCCCAAGGTATGACCGACTGCCACACTGCCCCAAGTCACCTGGAAAGGTTAGGGCACTCTGCCACCTGTAGGCTTGCTTGTTCCTACAGGCTCTCCGGAGATGGGTGGAAATGGGTAAAATTCCTGGACAGAAAACTGCAGGGTGCCTTTATGGACACAGGCCTGAATCAGCAGCATTCTGTTAGCCAGAACCCCGAACACCAAGTGTCTCCACTGCTGCCTTTGATGTCTGCCTGAGTGAGGGGTCCTCTTCTACTGCTCCACCTTAGGCTAGAGAAGTGACAAAAACTGAGCTGAGTGGGATATAAGTTACAGGGGTGAGCTTCGGTAGCCTTGTTTATCTGGAAGAATTGGAGCTAGAGCGGCTCCTGTGGCGGCCGCGGCCAGGAGAGCGGGACCGCCTGCGTACAGGGGACCTGCGTCTCGGGGAACGTGACCTGTGGGAAAAGAAGAGACCAAGTCAGACCATCTGAAGCAAAGGCCCCATAAAGAAATGATGCAGGGGGCAAGCTGGCTTTTTTTTGGAATAATCCTCCGTGCTTTATTTTTCAACACCAAAAGCTATGACCTCTGCCCAGGGAATTATCCCTCTCCTACTCCAGTGACCCCAGAATTCATGCCTCTTAACTTATCCTGTTTTCCAGCTAAGAATGGAGAAGAATTCACAGTAATTCACCTGCTTACTCAGCAGGTGCTTCTGACACAATCCTAGGATCTCTTCTGTCTATTACTGTCACATACTATGACCGCCATTCTTTTTCTCACAAGTTTCCAAGGGCCACCATGTTAACCTACACTGAATAAAGTCACATAGGTTTATACATCAAACAGACTGGCCTGAAGAGCCCAGTGATACTCCAAATTGACATACCTTCTCCTCATCCGTGGGGGTGACCTGCGCCACATGGGAGGTGGTGGTAGCATTCTCCTGGGAGGGCTGAATCGCCGGGGTGGCGGCCTAGGCCAGGGGGCCAACACAGCAGTAGCAGTGATCTCCTGACCATCAATTTGTCCTATGGTAAAAGGACCAGATCATAAAATATCTAATAAGCACCCACCCCTGGCAAAGCACCAAACCAGAGGCCGGACCCATAACAGTGAACCATGGGACAATGAAAGTTGTAAGATAATCCCAAAAACAACTACACCAGGACTGAAATTTCATCAGGAAAAAATGAATGAGGCACGGGACCTGAATGTGGACACTAATCAGTATGCTGGGGCAGCTTCCCAGAAAGAAATGAATCAATTGTGTGAATTCAGTAAATCCGTCACCTAGCAAAATATTCCTGAAAATGCTGAATGCTGCCAAAAGAAAATGACTCAAATGATTAAAGAAAATATTCTCACAAAAGCCTAATATATTATTTATAAGAAAAGCTTCATTGGATCCTTAGGCTTAACAGATTGAAAATTCCTTAAAGTGCTAATATATTCATATTTGCTGGATTTTCCCTCCAAGAATAGCATTGCATAAAACATATTGTTGATAAACACACCCACAGAGAGTAAGAATTGGAATCCTAAAAGAGCTCCAGGAAAACTCAAGGATAGCTGGAATGGAAAAGAGCCAGGTCATGGGACAGAGGTCAAAGGGTGCGGGCAGAGTGACCCACCTCCATCCATGTGCTTCAGTGCTTTCTCAGCTTCATCCGGATTCTCAAACTCCACATACGCATAGCCTTTGGACAGATGAGGATGCATCCTTTCTACAGGCATGTCAATCATTTTAATCTTCCCATAGGTGGAAAATATCTCCATAATGTGATCCTACAGAGAAAGAAGGGTCACACCACTAATGCTCACTCACCACACAATGACTAAGCCTCAGCTGTGCAAAAACATCTGCTGTGTGACACTGTCACACTGGGCCAGGTCTCCTATATAGTATCTAACAGTCCATTAAAAGGAATTAAATCAGTGTATTACTTGAATCAGGTAGGCTACATTCTAGGTGCACCTGCTGTTAGAGGCCTGCCTCTGTATACACCACTGTTCTCAGAATGGATTTGTGATCCTCACCTTAGTCACATTCCTGGTAAGCCTCCCAATGTGCACTTTGGTGGGTTTAGGGGAAGGGCTTCGCCGTTTCCTCTCCTTTTCATCTCTTTTAGGTGGTTTGGAT